GGGACCCAGCTCCAGGCCGCCCCTTCCAGGCCCTCTCTCACCGCCACTCCGAGCCTGCTCCTGCAGCAGAGTCCTCAAGATCCTCCCCTGCAGGGAACTCAACTCCCGAAGCCGGCCCAGCTCCTCTGTCAGCTCCGTGTAAGCCAGCGCCAAATTCACCCTGAAGGACACCCCAGCCCCCGCCCAGTCAAGGCTGGACGCCAGCCTGCCCTGACCCTGAGGTCAGAAGGCAGCGGGTGAAGAAGAGGAGAAAGGAAGTGGGCTTACTGTCACTTCGTGGAGGGAGAACTGGCTGTGCCCGAGCAGCTGGCTCTCCCTTCCCTCCAGGGCTCTCCTACCCCAGCTGCAGAATTCCCTTTGGCCTTAAGTTCTACCTCCAACGCTACCTCTTCCAGGGAGCCTCCCTCTCTTCCCAGTGAACCTTACCTGGGGCTAGGGCAGTGGCTCCCAGACTATAAGGCTGAGGCTGGGGAGCTCAGTGATTCCAGGGGGGTCCCTGAATCCATGTGTTCATCAAGCATAGTCTATGGCCTGAGCACATCTGATTCAGGGATGTGTGAACGTTTTTCTAATCTGTCCAGAAGCTGTGGTGACGAATAAAACACAGATTCATCAAAAAAAAAAAAAAAAAAAAAAAAAAAAAAAAAAAAAAAAAACTGCGCCGAATTTATAGTAGCTTTAGTTACTGTGAATTTTCTCAAAGAGCAACCAGTAAAAGTGTAAGTGCAATCTGTGTTGTTGGGGGCAGGGGATCCATGAGGAGTCCTCACCTTGGAAAGACGGGGGACCAGTGTCATACAGCCTAAGAGGAGCCCCCGTTCCATAAGTGAAGACACAGCCTTCTGGTTTGGCAGAGGAACCAACGGGTAAACTTGAACCCAAGTCAGCCAAGTTTCAGGTCCACTGCCCTTGCTTTCACCTCAGAGCTACCTCTGAGTGTTCAGTCTTGCACCTCCCAGGGCCTCCAGGGAGCCCTTTAGGTGGAGATCTTTGTGAACAGCTGCCGTGTACTGCACACCTCCAGAGGGTGCCACCCACAATAAGCACTTACAGAAGTTGTCTTGTTCTGGAACTGCCCTGGGAGTTCTTCGAAAGGGAGCATTATGTGGCTGTATTTATATTCCCAGCGCCCTGCCCAGGCCTGGTACCCAGTAGATGTTCAGGAAGTGAAGAATGAATTGAACCTCCCAATCCATGTGCCTTTCTGCTTCCTTTTCTTCCTCCCACTTCCTCCTGGGCACCCACCTGCATGGAGCTGGAACAGACTCTGAACTTAGCCAAGACTTAACCCACTTCCTTTTCTCTTCCTTTCTCTGTGGGTCACTCTGACCCAGAACTACCGAAGGTAATCTTTCTCTGCACTGCCCCTCCCCTCTCCCAGCCTGGGCTGCATACCTCCAGGGAGCCCTTCCAGACCTCACAGGCAGCTCTGCGTCGCCTTGGGTCACTGCTTTCATCTCTGTTCAGGGCTTGGACAGAGCCTGGGAGACAGGGGTTTTTGTTTCCTCTGATGTCTCCACCCCCTTACCAAGTCCAGAAGGGACTCCAGAGCTTCGTGGAAGTTGGAGCTGAGCTGGAGGAGAGTGGCAGGCAGAGACTCAGCCACTCTAGTTGGATCTCCTCCCAGAGGAGGCGCTCTTGCTCTTGGAGTTGTAGGGTGCTGGGCATGAATGGAGGGGCAGGTGTCCAGACCCTGTGGGCCCTGTCCCCATCCTGAGGTAATGGTCATGGGAGAGAGGATGCATGTGGACAGGAGGGAGTGCAGGTAAGAGCGAGGCCAGTATGAGCATGAGGAACAGTGTGCTAGAGGATGAGAGAGACAGAGAGAGACACAGAGGGGGAGAGAGAGAGAGAGAGAGAGTGTGTGTGTGTGTGTGTGTGTGTGAGAGAGAGAGAGAGAGAGAGAGAGAGAGAGAGAGAGA